GAATGACTATTAGTTAAATGGATATGCACCTATTATCATTACAATGAAGGTAGTTAATGATGGAAAGTTCGATTTACGTAGTCATAAATTATGCGGTGATATATGTAGTGTCTGAATTTTATGAAATTTATCGCTAGTATCGCTCGAATAATGCAAGAAAGTCACTTTGAATTAGAAGTAGATAAAGAAACAGCACACCCAGTTGCATAATTACGAATTACATAATCGCAACGTATTATTCATATGAGAATTGTATGAGGTTCTTCGTAGCGAAAGTGGCTCGAAAGAAAATTTAAATGGATTGTTATTTTTAGCTGTCTTAATATAACAACAATGGACGAGAGAGAGAGAGAGAGAGAGAGATAGAGTTCAAGGTAAAACAAAAATAAAGTACAAAGCAAGACTGCTGTACAACCTTGAAGATGTTATGCAAGAAATGAAGCGTAAAACAGTATGAATGACGCCAGTTGCGCGAGCTTCGGTTGTACAGAAGAAAAGTTTTCATTGCTCCCGAGATCTGCAGCTCGTGGGCGATCGAAGCCGTGACGTCAGAGACGCTGTAATCCTTTCCTAACACGTCGTCACGATTCTCTCGCGGTGACCTACGGCTCTCTCCCCTTGCGCCCTGACGTCACTGCTCACGTCCGCCAACAAGGGAGATGAAATAAGTTTATAATAAAAGTAGAAGCTCTTTAATAAGTCGCGTAACAACCGCGCGGCGAATAAAGCGCGTATCCGCAAGTACGATACGCAGAGAATATCGCGCGCAGATTATATCTAAGAACAACGCTTCCCCAGAGGGAAGCGGCTTTTCTTAATAGACAAGGATCTGCGGTGTTTGTGAAATTCATCCTTTGTAAGCTTCCGAAGACGTGACGTCACGCGCAATTAGCTTTTTCCCAATGCGTCGTCATAATTTTCTCACGATAACAGCAAGCGTAATTTGACATCGTGTGCGTGATGCCGACGAATGAGTTCTATTTATATTTCATAGAAGTATAAATGCTGGACTGCGTTTTACAAACTTAATATACGCAAGAAAACGTATTGATGAGGTATTAATGTGTAATATTAAAAAGTAATTTCGAAATTATTTACATTGGCGTAGGAAAAACATCAATAATGCTGATTTTATTATAAAACAAAATAGCGGTATCGAATCAAAATACTGTTTATGGGTAACGAACTCTGTCACTATAAATATTTCTCGACACAATTTCGGTTGTCCTATAAATATATTTTTTACGGCAGCGAATTAATCTAACATAGCCCCAGAGACTGGCAAAAAGTGTATAATGTTTTTTGCAGACGTCTGAACGACCGTGACGAACACATCACGCTGATAAAACATGAATGCTACGGTAATTTAAATAAAGTATGAGCGATTTTATAAAATATTTATATTTAAAATATTTTTAAAGCGCGTGCCTAATTATGTACGTAAGTAGTTGCACGCGTTTATGATGCATTTATATAAAATTCATGTTGCATTTTTTTCGTAATCTGTTATTATAAATAATGCTAAAACCCATTAAGGTGAATCACGAATTGGAGAATTGAAATTCTCGACTAGAGATTCGCATATTCAATTTATGGACCGTATCTGAGATATGAGAATTAGTAGAAATACCCGTTACATCTATTCTTCGTGTGCAATCAAAGGTTACGACGTTGAATGCCGTGAGGCTTTCCCAACGTTTCGGTATAATTTCTATGCATATATTAGATACCGTTCAAGCGTAGATATAAATCGTTCATTCAGAATAATCATAGTTCAGAAACATATTGAAAACACTTTGCTTAACGAGCGAAATCTAATTTACTATTTAATGAATATCAAATAAAAATAATAGAAATTTAAAAAAACGTTAATAACTCAAATTACTACTTGAAGTTCTCAAAGAAGTTTTCTATTACGCTCGATTAGTAAAAAATGTTAATTAATTTCTTTGCGAATCCAAATGATGATAGAATTATAAAATCACTTTGATGTAAATGAGCTTGCGTTTCTTTGTAACGAGTAAACCACTTTGAAAGAGAGAGAAAGAGAGAGTGACGTATTATATCGCATTTGCAAAACTGTCGATTTACGAGCGATCGCTTTCCCGTATCGCGATTGCGATTGCCTCTCAGACAATGCCATGACGTCAGAAACGCGGCGCGTCGGGAGGGATAAAGGCACGTGAAAAAAACGCATTACAAAGGAAATGTCACAACGCTCCTTATTCGCTGTAAATCGCGCACGGGCCGCCTAAGTGCGGTGTTCTGGCTCAACGAGATTCTCGAGTTGCGCGCAGCGAATTTTACCATGTCCCGTTACGCCGACCGAATCTCAGCGCATTCTTCGATTCGGGTCACGGCACCGTATACGTGGCCAATTTCTTGCTGACATTCTTAGATCACACTCGTTACGGAATGGCCAAATACCTCCTCGCGCGTAGCGTTCGAGCGTTTAAATGCACTCCGAACGACGAGCGGCCTTTGTCGGTTCTATGGCATCGAGCGAAGCATTTCGAGTGTTGCGAATAAACATCCGGAGCGTCGTTGTATATTTTCAGTTTGCCTGAAACCTATCTATGCTCAAAAAAAAGATAACTGTCATAACTGTGACTTTTTGTCATCACTTGTGCGTTACTAATCGCATCCTGTTAATACGAATGTTAAAGCATTGAGTTTCCGGTCGCTTTGCATTTAATTACGAGTAGCGTGAGGACGTACGTTTGAAAAATTAATACTTTCGCAAGCGCTCTTATTTGAATATTAATTACCATACGGCGAAAATGGGGTACCATGCGGAAACAAACGGCGAAGTAAACAGTCGAGTGTTCGTTTCTAATGTTCAATAACGCGTTGTTATAATAATTTTTCATAGAAATATGTTTTCTCGCGGCACAAAAGTCGTGCTCGATCTTTTCCACGATTTACTGCAGATATAGTTTTATCCCGTTGGGCTCGAATTTACAGTTATCATTGTTTTGATGGAATGCGGTATTTCTTTCCTGTTTCGCGTCCGTCGCAGGATCGTGACACGGCCAAACCCGGAAAGTCCTCGGCTGGTTTGCATAATGATTCGGTATCATGGTTTCTTGTGCGTGCAAATTCTTCCGCGATTAACTTTGCACGGTTTAATGCCATACGAGATGGAAAGGCGCATATGGTTACATTGCGACCACGCGTGCGTTGTCTGGTTTCGCAGGTGTTTCGATGAAACTCTTGTTAGATAAACACGATCAAACGTTCTCTCGAAAATGGTACGCCAAAAGAGAGAGAATACAGTGTCAAAGAATATGTACACATGTCGGATTTTGGAAGAAAACACGGTTTGAGAACGGAAATACGGTATCTGATTTATTCGATGTGGGATTCAAAATGTTTTTGAACTATTTATTCAATATTTTTCTAATATTTTGCATTAATTTTAATAATTATTTCAAAATATCATTTATAAGAATTTATTTGCAAAGTTCAAAATATAGATGAGTATTTCGAAATCTGCGTGCGAACAAATGGTGATAAAGTATAATTATTTATGACCATAGTCGGATATATGATGATGCAACGGGAATACTAGATTAATAATGACGAAAGGTAATAATGCCAAATATCCAGTCAGACAGGATGGATTATTTCGCTCAATCATCCGCCGTTTATTCGCGATGATCACAAACGCTATAATACTTCATAAATTCACGGATAAATTCAATAATTTAATTTCACGGCGTATATCTATCGAAAATCCTATTAATGCAAAGCTAAATGAATCGAGAAACCAAATATATCAATATATCAAACAACTATATCAGTTTTTCTTTTATATATTTTTTACATAACTGCTGTTTATAGCTTAACGCTGTATACAACAGAATGTTCAGTATTAAATGTATCGAATATTCTGCTGATATGAAATGTCATTATCATATTAGCTAAATAAAATTAAGACAATCATTTTAGAGTTGAATGGAATTTTAGAGTTAATTCAATTTAACCTGTTGAATGCTAATTAATTTCACTAGATCGTAATAAAAAATACATATATTTGAGTTGTGCAAAGCGGAACGAAAAATATGCTTTTAAAAATGGATTTATTATATTTTATTCTTGGAATTTTTTTAATGAGTTTTTAATTCTCACACTTTAAACGCGACAGTCGGATACAATATTAGTTGTCAATCGTCGAAGGCATATTCGGTACAATAGTATTCGCGACACGTTTTACTCGGCAGCCTCGCTGAATTTAATCTCGACGTATTTTGTTACTTAAGTAAATCCCGTTGCTCAAGCGAGGCGATTTTGTCGTTGCAACACGCTCGGTGCAGCGAAACTCTTCACCGTCGGGCAATCCGCTGTGCTTTAGGCGTACTTGTGAAATGAAGCAAATGCACTTTCACCCGGCATTGCGTTTCGCAACCTCCCACCCGGCCGGCGCGGCATCTCCAACCGCGCTGTCTCTCGGTCGTCGCCGAACGAAAGTAATTCCGTCGCGGGGAATGCCACAGCGGTAGCGTCCTAATTGTCGCACGACGGTGTTGGAATGGAATATATCGCCGACTTGTTACGCTTCTATCAGAGCGACGCTCAACACTTTCGACTTCATCGCTGCGCTACGCACGGACCGAGTCGCGTTATGCATCTCGGCTCTATGCTATGCACGGCTGCACTTTCATTGCGCATATGTTTATTCTAGTTTATATAGAAATTGTTTGCAGAAATCATTAAAATCCTTATGTAAACTAGAAATTTGAAACACAGATATTGAAATTAGCATTGTTTGGATTTTAATTTTTCGACATTCGTTAATGATTTCTATATATTTATTCGTGATAGTGAAAATGTAAATTGTATTTCGCCAAACAACTCGCCGAGCTCTTCGGAATCTCTGATTCTAGAAGTTAACATGTAGCGCCGCAGAGCTAACTGTTTTTCGCGGTTAAAAGTTCTCGCGGTTGAACGGCGAGTGACGTCATCGGGCTTCGCACCGTTATCTAACGCATGTGTTTCAGACATTTAACCGCGGGCCGTACAAACAACGCTACATGGACGGAAGTGTAGGAAGGAGGAAGCGCCGGCGGATGCATGAGTTTAGACGAGGAGCAAAGGTAAGGTCGTCGACTCGCGATTGGTCTTTCGCGGAGAAGATATAGACGTTATTGCCGCACGCGATATCAGGGAAACGAGCGAGCGGGTGGGCGGACGGACGTAGGAAAGAAATTCGAAAGTGGTCGGTGAAAGTGCTCGCACAGGCGCGTGGCTCGCGCAGTGTCAGTGAGCGTGGCAGCTCACACGAGTGGACTTCCTTCGCCTCCTCACCGTCATTCTTCATCTACCTGTCTCCGCTGCCTACTCGTCGTCTCGGATCAATTCACGCCGGACGACCTTTGTACTTTCCCTTTATCCCCCGACCTTTGAATCCGACCGTACAGGTGAGAGGGTTCAACCGGAAAAACGGCTCGGCAGCTTCAATGGCGAGCTCGCTCGTGGCGGTGGAAGGGGCGGGGGTTACTATTTCAATCGCGTTAATTTCCCATTTTCTTTCCTCGCGATGGAAACCTCCGAAGGTGTTAGCCACGCTTTCGCACGATACGGCTCTGTAGCGCGGTTTTATTAGATGTGCCGGTAAGTCGCCGAGAATAATGCATTATCGTTAATAACGCAGAAGCGACGAGGAGAGATAAGAAGGGAAGAGTAGATCGTGAGTTATAAATCGGCGAGTAGCGGCGAAAACGCCAGTAAATGAATATCCAGCGAGAAGGGTACGATTACAAAAAGAGTCCCTTTCGTTTTACTTTATTTGCGCCGCCATTCCCGATCTTGCTCTTGATCAAACAGTATCAAATTCAGCTTCCGAGGTTTGAAACGCGAAAGTTGGACAAAGAACCGCTCCCGCCTCCTACGATTTCACATAGCGCGAACGTTGCGAACGCAGATAAGCCGAATATCGAATAACGTTTGTGACAGCTGCATATATTTTAACAGCTGATGACTGAGGAACGCATCGCAGCGCCGATAATACTACACATTAGTGGAGCACGTTGGCTCCGAAACGAAAAGCGAAACTTTCGCCTTTACCGCGCTTCGTCCAACTATCAATCGCTTTATTATTGCTACATTGTAATTGAAGCCTTTCGTCGCGAGTCAACCGCGGTGGCTCGCACACGAACGACAGCAGTCCGCCGGTCGCCCGGTTGTCGCGCGCGCGCGAGGGGAACATGCGTGACGTTTTGTTAGTACCGTATATTCGCATGCCGAATTCATTCACGCATGATTCCTAACTCGTTCCACCGGAGTTCAGGTACGCGCTATGACACCCACCGGCTACCGAGGTTAATTGAATATTCCCTCCCTCTCGCACCGTAAAACCTTCGATACGGTTACATGTCGGGAGGAACACACGGCGTAACGCTGCCGGTAATCCCGTGCCGCTAAACACGGGGAATTTCGCTATCGGAACGCCCGATTTCGTTTGTTGCAGCTGTATCGCTAATTAAATTCGATAACTCACGTGCGGCCGCACTCGTGACGCCACTTATCCGTGCTTCTAATGGTACACGAGAAAGTGAACGGGAACCTTACGGTCGATAATTAATTGCCAGGCAAATCTTTATCGCGCCAAATTAGTATACTGTCGTCACAGATGCCGCGTGATGGATATTTCAACGCAGAAATTAAAGCCGTCAGGGAATCCCATGTCGCATAACTCGCCGGTTCGTGGAAGCAATTAAGTAATGGAGTTACAGCGAGAGTATATAGCAAATATACATTTGCCACATAAATTACATGTCATAAATACATACTTCAAACACGAATCAAATAATTGTAATTAAAATTATTATTTATACTAAAGGTGTATTTCGATATCGGATATTATATCAAAAAATAAAAATACATAACGGTGTACAATCGTAAAGATTGCAAAGTGATGACACGCGTGATAAAGATCACAGAAAAGTGATTTATAATTTTCTATTTTACAAATTACAATTGTGTTTATCTTTAGATTTATGTAAGATTTTTTGATTAGATTTACGCGAGATAACTTTTACGTTGAATCTTTACTTGGGTTTTGAAATGCCTAAAAGATAATAAATCGAGAAATAAATATACGTAATTTCATTTAATTATTTTTCGTGTTTTGTGTAAATTTATTTCCGTAAAAGCAACGTGTTTTTTTTTCTCAATTGTGTGCAAAGATACCTGAGTATCGTCATCCTGTTAGTATCAGCGAAATCTGCAAAGAAGTACGCCGCTGAACAAATGGACGTATCGTGTATATGTGTGCGCTGAAGACATTCCTGCAATATATACTCTCGCGCCTCGTGCTCTTATAGAGATCGGAGCAGAAAAGCCAGGCGAGATTATTGCTCGGAGCCATCGGGAGCAGCCGTCCGTTTTCATTGGAATCTCGAGTTGGAATTTTCCGCAAAAACGTCGAGCACCGGCGAGTAGTATTCGATCCGAATCTAACCCGCAAGCATTAATGACACCCCGGTGGTGGTGTATCTGATTTGTCTAATGATTAGATCGCCGAGATACTACGGTGAATCGCGGGAGCCCCGTCGCTGGCCCCGGCTTGTCAGCAATCTGCGAGTGATCGCGGATAAAACCGCGGATCACACGGGCGCGAGTGTCGTCTACGCACACGGATGGAGACACGATATGTAATGTGAATATAATGACGACGTTGCCACGGGTTAACAGCCTGCCTCGTTGGCTTCGTTTCGTGATCGCCCGTGCGTATGTAGGCGCGTTTGTATAGGCGCATGACACGTACGACACGCATACACGTCGTGTGTCGAAATTCAATACTCGCGATACGGAACTGTCTCGAGCGTTTTTTGTCGAGCGCGAGATACTCCCCGAAAGATCGGCTCGCGCCAGCATGAAACGTGACTTTTACGGCTCCGACTGTGACACGCGCGTGATTCCTTTATACGTTACGCGAGATATTGTTTGTAATTTTTCACTTAACATTGGTACGATTGCAAGATCGCAGAACAAGAGTGGAATAAGTTCATAATTTATACAAGGTTTGATTTAACATATACGAGGTATATGTAAAGTAAACTGTCTGATGGAATTTACATTTGTTTTAAATAAGATTTATGATGTGTAAATTTCAATTTAATTATTTTTTATTTACAAGTGATTTTACACTTACAAATATATTGTATTATATAAAATACGACAACGTTTTACGCTGATCTAGCAGAGACAAGCGTGAAGAAAAACTTGTTTTCTAACGTAATAAAATAGTTTTAATGAATATTCTACTGACTTAACAATCGAGGTTGACATCTCGTCGACATTGGAAATACATTTCATTGCTCGATTTTACGACTTTGACTGAATCATATCCATATTATAAAAAATCACTGTTTGCGAAGCCGTCATCAACATTTTTTACAAACGGCCGATTTTCTCCGACTTACAAAAAAAATTCCATCAAGCATATTGAGCGATTGCAAAGTCGGTAAACACAAACTGTTAGCAATTTGCGTTACAAACAAGGCAATATCGAGTTGCAAAACATACCAGCGTATTAATGCATCGAAAAGAACGGGTTCTTAATCGAGAATAAAATTGCTCGTATTATTTAATATCGATAACGATCCATTTAACTGAACTTGTGCTTATTCAGCACTAATTTGCGTCGTTTATAAGTATCATTGTTTATAGTTTACAAGAATTATTTTTAACAAACGTACGTGCTCCGATTTTGCAATGAGAAGTTATCGTAAAGCAACAAATCCAACGGGAAAGTTCTGTTGCAGCGTTTCATTCGGTGTGTGCTCCAGTTTGCGAGCACCCCGTATATCTTACACATGTAAGATCTGTGAAGGAGGTAACAAGCAACGGACCGTTTTCCTCGTAAACACTTGAGACCGGAACTCGCAATAACAAACCGCATAGTATGCATACACAGGAAAAATACCACGCGTACCGCGTTCAAGGAAATTATCAAAAATTGTTATTCTGTTTTTTATTTCGCCGTGAGCGCAATTGTCCACGTACAAACGCTTATACGTGACATTTCAGTGTTGCATGACATATCTGCATTCCGTGGATATCGCGTATCAGATTGGCATCACACCGAAATAACCAACAATTTCGGAACATTTTTTTTTTTACAACAACGTTACGTCGACAAAAAGAGTGATGTCGGATACGTGGACGTAACCGCGAAATGGAACAATTGCTCTGTAATTCCGATAATGTCTAGCTCTCGCATTCGCGGTTTGAGTAATTATCCGGATGTAATTCGTTCGGCGATTAACTTTGCCGATCGCGAGGGAAAGTCCCGCGAGGGGCCGAGGAATATGTTCAAAATTTTGCACTTTCTCCGATGCTGCGCCGAATACCTCGGCGTGATTACGCGAGTACGTAAGGAATGCCTTTGGAAATTCAATTCCGAACTTTCGATGTACGGCTGAAATGTTACATGGGCGGATCGCGGTTATGAACAACGTTAGATGAAACATTCCACGCGAGGCTGTAGAAGGATGTTATATGCATTCATTGGCTCCGCGGGTGATGCATAAGCTTTGTATGGCGTTCATACGGTTTCTCACGTTGCAAGAAGGATTTATTCTGTTGTTTTATTTATCTCCCCATTTGTACAACTGACTCTACATTCAAAGCTGTGTGCTATTTTATATTAAAAATAATTTGCCAACTAGGTTAATTTAATAAATAAGTGTGTGTGGATGTATGTGATAGATAGTGTTTGTGCGCTTACAATTAGTATTATAACGTTCATATTTATTTTTCTGTATACTTTATATTCAAATAGTTTTTTTATTATCATTTTTTTTTTAATTCTAAAAAACTCTATTTACAAATATACATTAGAGGAAAATATGTATGAATTATAAATCATTGAAAAGGAATAAAAAGTCCTGTAATCTAAATTGGTTTCTCTGGTTTTTGTTACAGGGTACGATGAGCCTAACCAAACGCATCGACGAGATCAGGTTGCTCGAATCACGCAAGAGTGCCCGGCTGGCCGATCAGGATACGGATTTCGCCAGACTCGCCGATATGGCTGGCGATCGTAAACGGGCGTCCTCCCACTCTATCGACGTGCCACATGTGATGGCGTAAGTTCCTTTCCTTTTCCTATTACTGTCTCTTATCTAGGATGCTTTTATGCTGGGGCAGCAGATAAGGTCATGCGTAACTGCCACCGATCGACAATAAACTTGTACCCTCGCGAAGCGCAATCGCTTTTTTAAACGTCATTTGGAAGCAAAATGTAGTTTGCAAAGTGATATGGTCTCACTTTGACGATTATGCAAATTTTATATAACTTCTCGCATTCTAATCCGAAAATCTATTCCAACCTTTCATGCTGTACGTTCGAATTTTGCCCTCTGCACTATCTGTTGCATCTTGCTTACATCATACACATGTATGACGTCGCTGTTTGACAAACAAGAGAAATTTCGCCCCGAAATCATAAAAGTATTCTGAAAAGTATAAAAAAATAATGATATATGTTTGATCTAATTATTAACTGCACATATCCTTCATTATAATTCTAACACCTAATCCAATAATGTTATTGGACACAAATCTCTTAGATCGAAGTGCTGCCCTTGTATCCCAGTCCTTCCCGGTTTCCCAAGTATCGCAACATCGATCCAATATGTGAAAACATTCTCATGATATTGCATCACGATAGTGCATCCTTTAAAACCCCTTTTACCGATGTCGAAGACTCGAAACGATGTGAGTACGAGTTTCATTCAGCATATATCATTATTAGTTTCACCATATCATCGTTGTTTTTATGCAAAACCGATAAATGGCAGATAAAATAGTAAACAAATATATGAAACTCGGAGGTACTAACCGCGTATCAAAGGTCATTGCCATATGTAACATGCTGACAAGATGGTTTTTTTTTATGTTAGGCTGTTTTCTTTCATAGTATAATCGTTGGCAGATAGTGATCGATAAATATGGGTTTTGCTCACATATCCCTCACGTAAAATATACATATAGCCGTTCCAAAGATCGGCTGTATTCGATGCTAAAGATAAAAAGCTGTGAGCATCCGCATGCTCAGTATGAAACGAGAATGTAAGTGCGTCCGTTTGCGGGTTGTTAGACCGTGAACGCACCCTCGCCGGGCACCTGTCTCTCACCTTTATATCGCACGCAACTTCCCAGAATGTTTTGCGCCTCCCTTGTCCCGGTTGAATGTCAGCGAGTATTCGCTATATCAAAATATCGCGGCTACAAAAATAATCGATGCCCCGGCGTGTAGTTCGGTGAAAATTTCTAACGCGTCGTATAGCGTCCACATACATTTATGATTGCAGTTTCTTAAAAATTACAATCGCACGCTTTATATTATGCTACATTAATTTAAAAGAAATATTTTATGACACGAACGCAAAGTAATCTATCGGTGAATTCTGGCATGAAAAAAATAAACCGGATCGGCATTGCAATTTAATACTGTAACACGTCGCGGCATTTATGAATAAATGGACAAAACATAACTATTTCCACTGATATAATATTGTATACGCGTATACGTATCGCTGCTCGAATCGTTTTCACGTTTAAATAGAATCCATTCAAGCCGCCGTCAAAATCAGCATTGCAGAATTCGCATAAAAATTGCTAAATTGAAAAACAGCAAATTTCTCATTGCCGCCTACGCTTATGTGGCGAGAGGTTTCTCAACCCCGCGAGCTGTCTCGTGTCCGCGATCTCGCGATCCCCATCATTTGAGACGAAACTTTCTTATTATCTCTCTTTCCCTTTCTGGCTCTTTCTCTCTCTTTATTGCCGTTTCTTTGAAAAGGATAGAACGGTCGTAGTGCCGACTGGGCGACGAACTGGGAGGTTGACGACCTCCTCCACTTTTCGCTCAGTGTGAGTGAAGTTGTCTGAGCTCTGAAGATCCTTTCACACAAAGGACACACGCGGACATTCGTATAATATTCGCAGTCGGGACGCAATTACATACAGGTAAAAACGTCGACGTTTTTGGTGGAACGTATGTACACCTGGCCCTGGCACGACCTGCCCCACGTGAAAGGAAAGGTCACTGAAGAGAAATCGAATGCCTTTTGAAGTCCGATGGTATCGGCGATGAGACTGTATGCACACTCGAGCTACTGTTTAGCAAGACCTTGTATCTTGTCCAAGGTTTTAACGCCGAATCGATTTGTATAAGATGGATCGATTTTTGGATGTGACGCCTCGATAAAAAGTACAAAGCTGTTATAACTTAATTTAAATTTTAATTTAGATTTAATTATAACTATAATTGCAACTATAATTTTACAACTATAATTGAGATTTAATTTTAATTTAATTACTATTTTACAATATAAAATATAAGGCACTCTTGTAAAATATTCCTTCGATAAGCGCCCTCGATAAAATATTCCAATATTTTTGCAAATAGCGCATTATAACCACTTGTCTGATTTGTTCAAGTATGCACGGGCAATACGTCATCACCGGTATAAATTTACCCGAGTCTATTCGGGCAGTATTACTAGTTACAAAAAAACCTTACATTTTTTGAACTCTTGACAAAATAATCTGACAGGGAAGTGGTTAAAAAAACAACGGACATTTTTAAGATATTTATTACACATGTATTGTGCCATTTTACTTAAAAGTGGCTTTTTATTGAGGCTGCTCGATTATAAACGCCAATAACAAACTAGTCCAGAGAGTCGGAATACCCGGTTCGCGTAAGACCTTTAAGTGACTTGCGCCAAGGTATTTCGCTGTTACGTAGAGGCTCCGCTTATTCTTTCTGCCTTTCACACGCAATCGTGCACGCCACATGGTGCAACGTGAGTACCTGCGCGTGCGGGTTTGCGATAATTGATGCCGGCAAATTGAGCAACGTAGCACTTTTTCCCCTCGTGACGTAATTTTCGTGCGCTCTCCGCGAAACGATAATCGACGCGACTCGCGATTTTTGTGCTTTTTTTTTCGCCCGCGGACCGCGTTGTTTCTAACCGCCAACCCATAGGGAGAACAATCAACTTTGACGATAAACCGAGGGAAAATAGAGTTGCCAGCTTCGTGAAACGGCGGGATGTTCGTGTGGGCGCCGCGCGCGGCCCGATTTTACATCTACATTTTTCCTCGCGGAATACACTTTTAGCCTGGCTGCACACGTTACTCGCTCCCGTGCATTGATAAAAGTAAAACGCGAACACGGGGACGCGAGATGGAGACCGCGATTGGCGAGTGCGTGCACGGATATACGGGAGCGAGCGAACGAACGAGCGAGCGAGCGGGCGGGCAGGCGGGAGCGCGCGGGGGGGAAGCACATCGGTGAGACGCGAGAGGAGAACGATAGCAGCCGCGAGCGCGAACGACGTGAATAGATGTGGGAGAGATGTGGATAATCCAAAATATAACTTCGCCGGCTGTGAATCCCCCGTGCCACGTCAACCGGTGCAGTGAGTCAGTAGGTTAGCTTACGTAATTTCGGACGGCGGTCTCCGCAACGGTGAGGAGGCGGCGGCCGACTTGGTTCGGAATTAGGTCGATCAATACCGCGGCTGGCTATATAGGTCAGGTGCACTACCACGCTCCACGTATGCGAGAGCGCTGTCCCTCCCTTCTTCCACCACCCTCCTGTTCACCCGCCGCCCCTCCCGACACCTAGCAACCCCCACGTGCCACCCATCCCGGCACACGAGCCACCCACCCGGTGCCGGGACAAAACCCACCACTCCCGCTTTCAACTCAAAACTCGGCCATTCCCTACTTTCGTTCTCTCGTACATCCCGCACCGCTTTACTCGCCCGCGGCACGTTAACGCGTTAATTGGCTCCAATCAACGATGAAGCTTGATTCCAGCTGGTACTCGCGAGAGATCGAATTGGGCGGTCGTTATCTCTGTCCCTAATGCCGCGGTATTCCCCTGGAATGCGTGTAGCTGTTTGTCTCTGCCGCGATACTGATCGAAGGAATGCGGAAGAGAAGGAATTGAATAAACCAGGGAATTCGTCTCGGAAATCGATCGGATAATCGCCATTATTTGCAACACACGCCTGCTATAAATAAATAGATTTCTCTAAACACTTTCAATTTTTTAAAAACGTCTCGGGCTAAATAATATTATTCTTAAATTACTCGAATAAGTCTCGGATTGATAGTAAAATTTACATTAATTAAAGTAAACTCGAATATTCGCGTAACGATAATAATTTCATGGAATATTTTGAGCTGTTCATCCTACACGCTAAAAGCGACTCTAAGAGGGAGCGAGAAATGCATGAGTCATATATGTGGCTTCGTGTGATGTATACTCGGTGCTAAGTCGTGTTAAACCATTTGCTCCGTGACCCACAGTAATCATCGAGGTATCGAGAAGCGGATGAAGGAAGCGTTTGCGAAACCTTTCGCTCCTGTTTCGCTCGCTTCTTATCTCGGCGCACGTTTGAACGATGAATTCGCAAACCGATCGCTCTATCCGAAACGCGCTAAATCCTCACGCTCGCCATATCAGGGACCTGACCTAGACCAACGGTGTTCTTCTCGAGCGTTGCATAGAGGTGCCACGAGGCCGTAGCTGGAAACATTAGAGGATCGCCCGTAACGGTCTCACAACCTAGACACACACTCGCCAAGGTCCCGCGCTACAAAATATGCCGGTGTGCGCGATCTTGACCTACACAGCGCGCGCGCAGACATGCAGATGTCATTTTAGTCATGCAGCGACCCCGTAAATCATGGTTTCCGATCGCGAGGCGACGGTAAAAATGCAGATTGTACGAGCGAATTATGCAAACTGCCGCGATTCGCATTTATTGTCAGGCAACGAGAAACGGCTCATAAATCCCGAAAGTTGGGACAATTAGCTTGACGCGCGACGGAAACTGGTACGCAGCGCGCCGCGGAGATTATTCAAAGGTGCATAAAGCGGTAAGGTGCGTAGTGCCGGTCTTATCGGCACTACACACGTTTCCACGCCGCTCTCCCCATTCATATTTCACCGTTTCGCTGTCGCGATGACGTCACCCATCGACCGGAGACAGGTGGACGCGCGACACCGGTTTCCGGTTTGCGGTACGCGTGCCGGCTTCCTTCACGCATCTAGGGATTTTAT